AAAATCAGCATAAGCGACATCAAAAAAGTTGAAGGAAACCATCTCTACCACATTTCATGTTACACAAGAAACGTGATCGTACTGGTATTTTTTAAAACGCTAAAACTTTTTAAAGACAAATCTTTTCAAAAAAACTGACCGATAACTTTATACACAGGTGAGCTCTACAAAGTTATCAGTTAATTTTTTTTTAAAAAAGCTCTTCTGTAGGAAGTTATATCTGTTCGAAAAAAAAACCCAATCTTCAAATCAGTATGACACTTTAAAGAAAAATCATTTAAAAAAAATTAACCGATAACTTTGTAGAGCTCACCTCTATGTATAAAGTTATCGGTCAGTTTTTTTGAAAAAATTTGTTTTTAAAAAGTTTTAGCATTTTAAATAATGCCATACTTTTGGCGCAGTATGTGCAAGAATGACGAAATACATGAATTTTATTAGTCAAAGTTGCAGTCACGCAAAAATTGAAACATTTTACATGATTGTTGGGTATAAGCCTCTGGCACCATACTCACACTGGTAATTTATTTGAATGTTTAAATGATTACAGTTAATTACACATTCACTTGTAGTACAATTGTTAAAGCGAATCAAATTAAACTTTGTATTCACCCTGGTAATTTATTGAACGATTGAATGATTACAATTAATCAATGTCTTAAAACACAATTGTTAAAGCAAATCGAATTAAACTTATACTCGCTCTGGTAATTTATTTGAACGATTAAATGATTATAGTTAATCACACGTTTTCTTGAAATACAATCATTAAGTAAATCGAATTGAATTTTGTACTTACTCTGGTAATTTTTCAAACGATTGAATGATTACAATTAATCTATGTATTGAAACACAATCGTTAAAGCAAATCAAATTAAACTTCATACTCGCCCTGGTAATTTATTTGAATGATTAAATGATTAATCACACGTTCTCTTGAAATACAATTGTTAAGGTGAATCGAATTAAACTTCGTACTCACTCTAGTAATTTATTGAATGATTGAATAGTTATAGTTAATCACATGTTCTCTTGAAACATAGTCGTTAAAGCGAATTGAATTAAACTTCGTACTCACTTTGGTAATTTATTGAATGATTGAATAGTTATGGTTAATCAATGTTTTAAAACACAGTCGTTAAAGTGAATCAATTTAAACTTCGTACTCACTCTGGTAATTTATTTAAATGATTAAATAATTACAGTTAATCATACATTCTCTTAAAATACAATTGTTAAAGTGAATTGAATTAAATTTCATTCTCACTCTAGTAATTTATTTGAATGATTGAATGATTATGGTTAATCACACATTCTCTTGAAATACAAATGTTAAAGTGAATTGAATTAATCTTTGTACTCACCCCAGTAATTTATTTGAACAATCGAATGATTATGATTAATTACATGTTCTCTTGAACGCAGTCATTAAAGTAAGTCAAATTAAACTTCAAATTCACCTTAGTAATTTATTGAATGATTGGATGATTAAGGTTAATCAATATCATGAAACACAATCATTAAAGCAAGTTTAATTAAGCTATCTTGAAACATATTTGTTAAAGCAAATCAAATTAAACTTATACTCACCCTGGTAATTTATTTGAACAATTGAATGATTATGGTTAATCATACATTCTCTTGAAACATAATCGTTAAAGTGAATTGAACTAAACTTCATACTCACCCTAGTAATTTACTTGAACTATTAAATAATTATAGTTAATTACACATTCTCTTGAAATACAATTGTTTAAGCAAATTGAATTAAATTTTATTCTCACTCTGGTAATTTATTTGAACAATTGATTAATCAATATTTTAAAACACAATCATTAAAACGAATCAATTAAACTTTATACTCACCCTTGTAATTTATTGAAATAGCCAGGGCGGCCCCCCCAAAGTGCCAGTGACGTAATCATTTTCACCAATCAGATAATACTATATATTTAACAATAAGTGATGATTTAATATATATAGTATTACTTAATTGTTGAAGTGATTACGTCACTGGCACTTTGGGAGGGCCGCCCTGGCTATTTCTAATTTATTTGAACGATTAAATAATTATGGTTAATTAATGTCATGAAATACAATTGTTAAAGCAAATTGAGCTAAACTTCGTTCTTACCCTGGTAATTTATTTGAACAATTGAATGATTGCGATTAATCTATTTCTTGAACCAAAATCGTTAAGGTGAATCAAAATAAATTTCATACTTACCCTGGTACTTTATTTAACAATTAAATAATTGCAGTTAATCAATATCTTAAAACATATTCATTAAAGCAAACTGAATTAAACTTATACTTAACCTGGTAATTTATTTGTATAATTGAATAATTACGGCTAATCAATGTCTTGAAACACAATCATTAAAGCAAATCGAACTAAACTTCATACTCACCCTGGTAATTTTTTTGAATGATTGAATAATTATAGTTAATCAATGTCTTGAAACATATTCGTTGAAGCAAATTAAATTAAACTTATACTCACTCTAGCAATGTAAACCAAACCCGAATGGGACAATTACGGGTTTTTCCTAGTTTTGGTTTGGGGTTGACCATTATTGTGATTCCAAACCCCAATACAAAACCAAAACCGGGCGCCCCTTTCCTATTGCATATCCCAAACTCATTGGCCAATCAATGATCATTAAAATTACCATACCTGAAGAGCTTAGTCTTGAACATACTGTACATACGTTTGTTCTTTGATTTAAGCTAATGAGCGCTTTTACAAGTGATTTTGCTGATGGCTTTATTTCTTTATATTAAACGAATGATAGCAATTATAATTCAAGTTTTTACATTATTGTACAAAAGTGCACTAACAAGTGGTAATTCGCAGTTGTTTTGTCTTGTTAGTTGCTTAAAGTAGAAGTTTTTTGAACGTGGATTTTTTTTTTTTTTACCTCTTACTGTAATACTATTTTATAACACCGGCAAATAAATAAATAAATAAAACTTTTACCAAAGTCTTTAAATAGCAATTGTTATAACATCCGTTAAGGTTTCTTGAATTGTTGTCTTAAATTTAGTCTAAATTATTTTAGCAAAAGTGCTAACCATTTTTTTTCAACAAATACAAGCAATTCAAATATAATTTGAAAATTCAAACAGAGTATGTTCTTACAGAAATAATTTTTTAAACTTACTTTGAAATCAATTTTAGCATTCTTGTAAAAATGAGCAACAAAAATTTTAATATGGAAGAAGATTTTCTTGAAAGTGCTTCTGAAGCATCACAATCTGGTGAAACTTCTAGTAAACGAAAAGCTGAAGAAACAGATTTTCGTAGGGTCTTAGTGAATAAGGGTGGGTGGCCAAAAGATTCTGTTTGGAATGATTTTGATACTGGTGATTTCTATGGTAAAGGTCATTACTGTGCTAATGGCTGATACTGCACTAAAGGAAGATGGAAACATGGAAGACCTGCAGTAATGAAAGCTCATTTGGCTTTACATTGCAAAGGCAACATTTCTGATGATATGAGGCATCATTATTTAATTCAAGTAGCAAAACGAAATGATAAAACAAAAGATGATGATAGTGATAATGAAAGTGCATTATCATCTTCTTCACTAAAGTCATGATTACATTTTAAACCTGTATCAGCTGAAAGAAATAACAAAATTAATAAAATTTTACTTAAAGCTTTCGTGTGTGCAGGAATTGCATTTTCTGTAATTGATAATCCATTTGTTCGTGACTCTGGGAAGGATTACATTAGCAGAGCAAATACTTGATAAAGTAGCAGCCCATATAACAATACGAATGAATAACCTACTTGAAAAAACACAAAATTTAACATTAGGTAAAAAAAATTTAGATATTAAAACTTATTTATATTTATAATATACAGTATATTAATAATATAATTATTTTTAATAGCACTCGATGGATAGTCATCTCCAACCAACGATTTACTATATAATTTTATTGTATCTACTCCTAAGCATAAAGAATATTTATATTCGATTTTGGATCTTTCTGATACAGTTCAAACAGGTGAATTTCTTGCTTCCAAAAATTTCTGACATCATTGATAAAATTGGCTCAAGTAAATTCATAGCTTGTGTAACAAATAATGGAAGAAATTACTACACGCAATCACTCACATATTTGGAATATTAGATGTACCACTCACGCATTAAATCTTATTGCAAATGATATAGTAAAAATTAAATCCATCGATCATGCTTTAAAACAAGCAAATCCGGTTGTTCAATTTTTTAATAAGTCACATAGAGCACATCGGATTCTTCATAGTGGGATTAAAAGTATGAAATTAAGTAGTGGCGGCTTAGAAACATATGCAGATACAAGATAGGCTTCTATTTTTGGAACTATGTCTTCAATTGTAAGACTTAAACCTGTTTTTGATAAGGTATATATAGTAATTAGTTATAAAGTAATATTTATTAAAAAATACAGTATATACAGTAATTTAATAATTTTATTTTTTTAGTTGTTAGAAAATCATCATAATGTAATTAGTAAACCAGCAATAATTTCACTATTAAATGATGATGACGATATATTTTATGCAAATTGTCATCAAATTGCATCAATAATTCAGTCTATTAAAGAGGCAATACACAATTTAGAAGTATGTACTGCAAATCTTGCTGATTGTTTTATCAGTATAGTGAAGATTGCTGCAGCTATTAATAGAATTTCCTTAAATAATACTTTCCATGAATCAGCTATTGGTGTATTTAATAAATGTTACGCAGAATATGATATTGAACCATACTTGCTAGCTTATTTTCTACACCCAGGCTATAGAGGTACAGTATATTATATTTCAAGTTTAAATCTAGTTTTACAGGAAATTCAACCAATATATTTTGAAATATAGGCCTTGGCTTACATAAAGGAGTGTTACGACAAATTAGTGATATCGCTGAAAAATTTTATTTAAGTCTTTATAATGATGAGGCTTCATGTCAAATATTGACAACACAACTAATTCAATATAAAAACCGAGATTATCTATTTGATTTTCGCTATGATTCATCCAAGTCACCTATTTTATAGTGGGGAGTAATAGAAGATGACTATGATCACCTTCAAGAGTTTGCATGACTTATTTTTGCCATTGTATCCTCTCAGGGGGGTTTATCACAAAATCCCGAAAGACAGATTTCCGAAAGGACCCAATATCGACAAAGTTAGCCGGCATTAGTTATAATGCTGGCCAATTTAGTCGGTATTATATTCTTTCAGGAAAATGGTTTTCGAGATTTTGTGTAAACCCCCTCTCAGGCAAGTTGTGAGTGCAATTTTTCTATTCTTAGATGGTTGTATGGAACATATCATTCACGTTTATCACCTGAAAAAATTGAGAGTATAGTTCAAATTTATTCTTTCTATATTTCTAACCTCAAAAATGAACTCCAATATTATGAAAAAGAGTTATCCGAAAATGAACTTCGTGATAGTACATTAGCTCTAACCACTTATGCCACTGTAGAAAATAATGTAGTTTTAGAAAAAAGTGAAGATATTTTGGAATCTGTTCAATTTAATAATGAAAAGCTTGAAATTAGTTCGATAGCTGATTTATCACATATAAATTTTGGTGGGCAAGGTAATATTGCAGAAGCATCTTCGACAACTCAAGGAATTGGTAATATGTAATGATTGTAGTTTAATTTACTAATAAGAGTAATGCAGATTTGTATTACTGTTATCGCTATTAATAAAAATATCATTTAGAAATTTTAATTAGTTGCTTCTCAGTACTTGATTGAAATGCTATTTACTACGTACACATTGAAGAAAATATATTGGGGCGCATTCCATATTTGAAGAAAGGTAATATTTAGGTACGTATAATATATTTTATTATTTGCTTATTTTTATTAGCAAAAATGATTTAAGTTACAAATTTAACCGGGCGAAGAAGAAGCTTTATACAAAGCTTTTTTTTTTTTTACCTTTCTATTTGTTATAATTTATCAAAAATCTATCCCTAAGGTCTTTTATTAAAAAATTGATATGTTTTTACTCTTACATATAAAACATTTATTACATACGCTGTATAAAATACTACCGCGTTGATTTATTTTATATCAACAATAAAATTTACACATTAATAAAAAATATAACATTCACAAGTCAAAAATTGTTGCCTCGATAGCGCTAGGTTTGATTTAATTCTATAAGTACATAGGATTTATTCAAGCTTAGAAACGATCTTTTTATGTACTTTGTATAAAGTAACCACCACACAAATAAATTTACATATTAATAAAATATACGAAAATAAATTAGCATTCACCAGTTCGCACAGTGCAGATTAAACCTTAACCAAGTCAAAAATTGTCTTCGAAATATTGCAATTTCTTTTGCAGAGCAATATTTAACTTCTAGGAAACAGAGCCTTTTGAGGTTCTACTAGTGGCTATAAATTGGGTATGTGAATAAAACGGCTCGACGGTCTTATTAAGTGCTATAATTAATACGATACGTATTACAGTATTATCGTAACCGCGACAAACTAACAATATCTCATAATTGACCAATCATGTATGATGTGATTACCCGAGTTTCGGCACGGCACAATCATAGAATCTAGTAAAAACCTTTGGGATTCTACTAAGTCCCAAACTACCGGGTTTGGTTTACATCACTAGTTTGCGATGACTGGAGTATCGTTCCAGATACTACCACCAGCAATGTACTCACACAGGTCAAGGTTTATTCACTAAGAATATTCAAAGGAATTGCAGGAGCGAAAGTTAGGCTTCTCCCTTCTTTGATCGAAGCCTTATATATTATTACTTTTCTTTATCTGATTACTACATTGTTTTATGCAATTAATTCTATTACTAATCGCTAATTACACATTGTTCAAGCAATAAAGACTATTCT